CATACCTACTCTATTACTGACACACAGGTTGTGATTTGCAAGTGGGTCTTATGAAAGATTGGATGTTTAACCATGATACAGCAAGTTATGTGATTTGAGAAATCACGAAATATCTGATATTGACCAAATGAGTCAAAGAATTGTATATATATATATATATATATATATATATATATATATATATATATATATATATCACTTCCCCATAATTAAATAAAGGTGGCACATGTGAAATTGAGCATAGGCCAGTCCAAAAGAAATAGAAATACATAAATTACATGGAAAGAAATGCACTTATTTCTACTCTGGCTTAAACCTATCATCTAAATGGGTTTTTCCCCCATTGTGATCAGATGAGAAACATCTCAAGCTTCTTGAGCAGTCTATAGAAGAATCTCAATAATATACAAGCATCACCTGGATTTTAACAGCAGCACATTGCCACCTTTCTAGGAAAGCAATGAATGTTGGTGGCTAGGGCAATTTCTTCAAGTGGGCACACATCAAAATGTTCACCTATTTTTTCCCATTTTGCTTAGAAATGTAAATGAGTAACATAAGGCAATCATTTATTAATTCACTGGTTAAGGCCAGTCATTGACTAATATTAAGAAAATGAGCAGTTGGGGCTGGGAAGGTGGCTCAGTGGTAGAGTGCTTGCCTTGCATGCCTGAGGCCCTGAGTTCGATTCCTCAGCACCACATAAGCAAAAAGAAAAAAGCAGGAAGTGGTGCTGTGGCTCCAGTGGTAGAGCGCTAGCCTTGAGCTGAAGAGCTGAGGGACAGTGCCCAGGCCCAGAGTTCAGGCCCCACGACCGGACCCAAAAAAGCAAAAAGAAAAAAGAAAGTGAGCAGGTACATGACAAGGAATTCTGGGAAAGAGGTTTGTTTGATTCATAGGAAGACCATTAAAAAATAAAAATGTGAAGGTATGTTTCTCCTATGAGAAATTCCACAAGAGATTGAATTATTAAAATGTCTATTTTAAATGATCAAGTGGACAACATGACCAGTTATTCTTTTCCACCCTAAGTTTCCAATGGACTTAGAAACAAAAGGGTCTTGGTAGTGGGAATGGAGATGTTGCGTGGGCCAGCAACATAGATTTGCTTGCCAAAACTGACCCAGATATTACCAGGCCTCATGAGCTACTATTGCAGCAATACAAATGAACAGTGACTCGGTTACACACTAAGGTCAGTGACTCGGTTACGCACTAAGATCAGTGACTTGGTTACACACTAACGTGACCAGCTAGCTCCTAAGTAGCAAGTAGATTATCTTTGATTGCATACATATGAAGTCTATGCTTCCATCAGAAAGAATGATACCACCTCTTTTGTTAGGAAATGGAAAGATTTGGGGGGAAAAATCACATTAAGTGAAGTAAGCTAGACCCAAAGAAATATAGGTCCCATGGTTTCCCTTATTTTCAATAATTAACATATGTCTGGGATAATCTTAACAGAGGATCAGAAAAGCTCAAAAACTATGTACCTATCACCATACAAAATAATGCTAAGTGAAATGAACCCCAAGATATTGACACAGGATTTTTTTCTTTGTTAGTGTTGTTGTTAATGTACTATTTTTTTGTTTCTATTGTGTGTTCTTCCCCCTATGGTATATCCCCTGTTGTCACTGTACTTGATTTTGATATATAATTTGAGGAGGGGAAAGGGAATAACAAAAACTTGAAACAAGAACACAAGATAATCCACTGTAAGAAGGATACTCAAAAGACACAATGTTAAAAATGAACTTTACAACTTTGGGGGGAGGGGGAGGAGTGGGGAGGTGGGAAAGGAAGGGATAGTAGGAGAAAAACAAGAGTGGATGACAATGCTTGATAAGAAATGTACTCATTACCTTACTCATGTAACTGTAACCCTTGTTTACAGCATTTTTACAAAAAATATAAAAAAGTATAGCAGAAAATTTAATCTCTTACTCTACAATGTGAAAGTATGTGCTTGTTCTGATATTATAGTAAAACCAACACATTTATCTGAGAAAAGCTCTGGATTTGCTTTTTATATAGTTGTAATTTTTTTATATTGCAATTAAATTTATATTCATTAAACTAATTTTGCATTTCCATCTCTCTTGAGTACATGTCAACATGAATATCTGTATCTTTAAATAAATCCATTAGTAAGGCTCCTATTCATTTAGCCACTTAAATTTTTGTCTCTGAATTTCTACATGAGGATATTCTTTTAGAGTTGGATAAATGAAGCTCAGTTTATTAAAACAAATAGAGTGTCAACTAATAAGAAACACTATGGTTATATTTTCCTATATACATTTTATTAAAAATCAGAAAATCAAATTGGAGGCTCAGTGGTTATAGTTAGGCACTGTTCTTAGATCTTTAGTATTTTCGTTCTCAGTAACAATGACCTCTGCATTAATTATAATAGCTTTTATTTCTATGATCTGACTCAAAATCTTTCCAGAAGGTGCAAAAATACAAATATCCATGTTTGTTTGCACATATACATATAATATCTTGGATTAGTCTCCATAATATTATATTTCTCTTTCCAATGTAGAATCACAAACATGGAGTTAATTAAACTTTAGTTTCTCTGTAAAGAGAAATTCTGGATAACTGATATTTCATTTGAATTAGAAATATATTCTCATGAGAATCCTAGGGATTAATACTTACAATTGTGGAATCATATCAACCTACCAAAACAATGCTGCTTACATATAGTAATTGATTAGATAGTAGAGCTACTACATTTTAATCCTTTAATTGAGCAATTTATGTTTTCAATGAACTCACATACTATCACAGGATCAAAGAAGAGACTTTTCTGATGTTTTCTAAATTCCTTTTTACCTCAAATGAAAGTAAAGCATTTCTCTAACTACAACAAAAGTAATATGTACTTTACGTTACAAAAACATTGACCTTAACACTCCAATTCTGATTAATAAAATCCTTGGTTTTAATAAAGGCAGAAGGAGAGAATCCTTTCTCCATAGGTATTTTCCAGGGCCTGCTATCAGAAGTACTGGAGAAGGCACTCAAGTCAATGAAATAGAACATTCAGCCTCTGTTCATTTGTATCTGACTGTAAAATTCCATTTAGTATCAAGTTAAATACACATGAGTGTCCCAACACTACATATAATTACTTTTGCCTAAAAATTACTTCAGTAGTTGTAACATTTTATCATCATACTAAAGCATCATATAAGCAAAAACATTGTTCAATATCCTTAGATAATTTCAAGTTTTAGGACATATTCCTCAAAATTGTTGAGGACTCTTCTTATTCCTGGGGTATTTTTTCATAGCTGTGTAATCTGAGGAGGGCAGTATAACTGAAATTCTTACTATCTTGGCACCAATTGTTATCCAGTGTCTATTTCTTTGGGTGCTCTGAATTTCCATTGGGCCTTTGACAACTTGGTGCTGTGTTGAATTTCAGGGATTATGTTCATGGTGTTCTCTCAGGGTCTTGAAAGTCCAGATACAGTTTAGGAGATTGATCCTATTTAATAACATCTTAATCACTATTGTTATTAAATGGTTGTTGGAATTTTGACAGCCAATATAGTACTCATAGACTGATTTTGGCATGTTGGTATTTATAGTATATATCAATACCCTGCCAAAAATTTGCCTAGAATTTACATATCTTAGCTGCACCCTTTGATTCAAGTTCATTAAAAACTATTAAAATAATCTCTCCTCTGTACTATTCAATAAAGTTTAAATAGAGGACCCTACCACTGATTGCAAAAATAAAGCACAAATAACTTAGGACTTGGATATGGATGTTTTCTTTGACAACACGTGAGCAATACCCATTGCAGTTCCCTTGATTATTGAGCAAAGGTCAGAGGATGCAATAACCAAGAGTCATTATCTTCTAACAGTAATGCCCAAATAGACTTTGTTATGTTATACTTCCTTTCTGTCTTTGTAAATTCTCACTAATATGAGAATTTAACCCTATGTTTGCTTCATGAAAACAATATATTTCTATGAACTGTTAGATATTTCTTTTCTAATCATCATTTCGTTGACCATAAGCAAGTGCATAAGTGCCTTGCAAACATATCATGTGACAGTGGTTTATGAAGGCTTTATCTGTTTTCATTTTGTTTGTTTGTTTTTGTTATCTTTAGTTTGTCAGTTGTAGGGCTCGAACTCTGGGCCTGGGTGCTGTCCCTCAGATCTTTAGCAAAAGGCTAATGCTCTATTTCTTGAGCCATAACACCATTTCTTGTTTTTTAGTTGTTTATTAGACATAACAGTTTCATGGATTTTCCTGCCCAGGGTGGCTTTGAACTGCTATCTCCTGAGTAGATAGAATTACAGGCAAGAGCCATCCCCACCCAACTGATGAAGTTTCAAGAACACCAAATGGATCACTTTAGAAACATGATACTTGTGGTTTGTAATGTTTTAAACAGAAAAGGGAAAGGACACATTATGAAAACCAGGACAATTTAAGAATCAATATACTCAGAAACACCAATATCAATTTAGGATATTTACGCTTGTTCCTTCTTTTTTCTGTCTGACCACTCTAAATCATAATGTGCATCATATCATACATCATATTTTAACATCATGACTTCATCGAAGAATTTCAAGGATCTATATAATATATATTCATTAAAATACTTCGGCAGCACAAAAAGGAATGTGCTCTATCCCAAAGCTTACCTAGGTCATGGAGTCAGGATGACAAACCAGGTGTCCTGACTAGAAATCCCAGTGGTCTAGTGACTGGTTTGTTCAACTCCTGTGCACTATATCCTTACACAATCACCCCATTTATATTCCCCCTTGCTATCAATTGGTTTTTCGGGTTTTTTTTTTGTTTGTTTGCTCGTTTTTTTTTGTCGCTTGTGGGCTTTGAACTCTGGGCCTGAGCGCTGTCCCTCAGCTCTTCAGCTCAAGGCTAGCACTCTACCACTTGAGCTACAGTGCCACTTCCTATCAAGTGGTTTTCAAAAGAAACACGTCATTACCTTTCCCACATACTGAGGTTCGGAGCCCATGTATTCTTCCAGAACAAAGAACTGATTCCACACCCAGCCACGTTTAACTCGTTGGAAATGTGACTGTCGCCCTGGCAGGTGAACTTCATTTTCTCTCGGTTTTGTGGCTAAAGTCTGCTGTGGCTGTGGTTGAAGTGGTGTTAGGAGACCACCATCAAACAGGACCCAGAGAAGCAGGGATAAACAGTTCCTTGTAAGCATTGGCAAAGGCTTTCCTGTCGCTGAGTAATGAAAACCTCAGTACTTAACGCAGAATTGTGGAATCCAGGATTTCAGCGTCTGTGGCCTTCACCACTTAGCTTTGAGTTTTAATGAAGAGATGGTAATTCAGGCATTAGCAGTTTTGAGGCTTCTGCTTTATTATTTTCCATCTAAAGGGACCTATAAGACAGAAAACAAAGAGACTGAATTTGTAAACTTCCTGATAATTGTGAAATATTTGTGATATGTACTAACCACTCAAGATGACAGATTTTCCAATAGTATGCTAAATTTTCACTTCTACTCAAGTTGACATAACTTGAGTTAAATAAATAATTATAGACTTAAAAATCATCAATAACAATGAAGCAAAATGTATATTATGAATATAAATAATATATGCATAAATTTATTAAATATTTTAAGGAAAGAACAGAGAACATTTCTGTAATCAAATTCATATGATAGATGAGGATTTTTAGAACAGAGCTATTGAGAATTTGAGTAGACACCATTTATTCTGGGGATTTACTGGTATATGTAAAAATAGTATAATACTTCTTTACTCCATCCTCAACTATGAAAGCCCAAACAGCTAAACATTTAAAGATATCACTTGAGAGGAACGGAATAGCCCAAATTGGCAACCAATGATTTTGGAAAGAAAATTGAATAATTGTAAAATTGTCCATTATAGAATTGAAGGATCAAACTACACAGGAAAGAAGATCAATTACTAAATGTAAAATAAATCATCATACTAACATTAATGACTGATAAAGGATAGGGTTTGAAAAGACATCCAAATCTGCAAGTAAAAGTAATTCGCTAAACCTAGTGTACTGAAAACACTGTGTAGTGGGAGTTATTTCACACATCACTTGTAACTCAGAGGAAAATTAGATGAATGTTATATGTTCTGCTATTAAGTAAAATAAATTATGTTTTTTTCTTATAATAGCCATTTAATAGATCGCATGTGGAATATACATTGACAAATTGTACAACGTAAGTATCAGTAAACCAGAAAATAGCACCAGTCCTGCCTTCCTTAGAACAGAAAACAAATGAACAATCAAATAAATAAAGAGGAAATTATACCAAGGATGTGAAAACAATATGTTGTTGATAAACTCACTTTAGCAAAAGCCTGTTGTAGGTGACATGAACTGAAAGGAAAAAACATAGTAGTAACCCTACATCCCTTCCTGATTACCTGATATAATCAGGAATGTAAGAATTGCAAGCTTAGCCAGCATAGTTTTACACAGTTGGCTCTTAGCCTGTGAGATTTCCACAAGCCAAAACCACTGAAGGCCAGAAAACGCATATGATGCTTCCATAAGAGGAGAACCAGAACCAAAAACAATAAAGGCTTAATTGAATGTCTATAATGCATGCCATTTCTGTCAGTCAGTCTGATACAATTCCAGTCAGCGCTTATTCAATTATGTGCCATATACACAAACGGTGTAAAGTATTTTTCACAAAATATGTTCATTAAGATGTTTAAGTGGGTGTGATTCACAAATCTTGAGATAATAGCTGAGATGGGAAGTGCTCACTTTATTCTCTGAAAGTCTTCTACAAAAAAAAAAAAAATACAGTTAAGCCAGGCACCAGTGGCTTACGCCTATAATCCTAGCTACTCACAATCTGAGGATCGTGGTTCAAAGCCAGCCCAAGCAGGAAAATCCGTGGAACCCTTATCTCCAATAAACCACTCAGAAAACTGGAAGTGGTGCTGTGGCTCAAGTGCTAGAGCTCTTGACTTCAGCTGAAGAGCTGAGGGCAGTGCCCAGGCCCAGAGTTTAAGCCCCATGACTGACAAAAATTAAAATTTAAAAATTTAAAAAAACATTGAAAAGAAAAAAATATAACTGATATGTGTCCAGTCTCTTAAAAAATACAATGTGTAACTACACAATTCTGACAAAATATAATTATCTGGGTGTGTACAAATTCTGACAAGACTGTTCAGAAAATGTTAACTTAGACCTACATTAACCAACATGATAGACAAATGGCTGTATATTTGTAATGTGGCCATTTTTGGTTCTCATTGGATGTTTACTCCAGTAGAATATGCTGTTTATCTTCCACATTTTTGTATCTTATTACATAAGCTGACCTGTATATCATGCTCTCATATTGTCTTACCTTTTTATACCAATGTAGAATGTTAGGTTTACAGCACTAATAATTTATTGGTAGTTAATAATTACCAATATTGTCATTAGGAAGGTTATGATTCATGCTGAGGGCACAGGTTTTAGGAATATGCACATGTTTTTTTCTGAGTCCTACTACTTTGTTATGAACTTGGCAGAACATAGGCATATACACTACACTTTATAGTTCACATCGCATTTATCAATTTAACAGTGTCTGAACAATCTCTGTAAGCTTGACCTGGACATTCTCCTCTCTAGGTTTCAAACGTTTTGTTTTTTTTAATCAGTACTAACAGGAATAACATATATTCACAATTTTTTAAATTTACTTTTACTTTAGTGGTACAAAAGAGTACCTAGAGAACAGTGTTACTGCAGTCAGTAACACTGGCTCCACGGTCTACAGCAGTTCCTGGCTCCTGCAGAGGACAGATTCCTAGCTGTGAAGCTAGAGGGAATTGCTCATTTAATGATATTAACTATTTTTATCAAAAATTGCCCAGCAGTCGGCAAACTGGCTCTGTGAAGAAAGTGTGATTATCATAACCATTTTACAAAAGAATTGGGGGAATATGGAAGAACTGAAATGCTTGACCCTACTATACAAGGTAGCAGACAACAGGACCCCCTGACTGGGAGCTGCCTGATCCTAGGGCGCCTACTTTCAAGTGTTCTACTCTTATTGTCCATCTGTTCATGAATGCATAATCAGATTAAAATATAAAGATGTTCAAATTTGAACAAAGCTATCAGAAGTCGCTCGCAGGTCTAAATGTCAAATTGTTAAAAAACTAGGTACTTCAATATTGAGAAGCTGATTTGTGTGGACATGTTTATGTCCTCTATATAATAAAATGACTGTAACCATGAGGTCAGTATACTTCCTGTGAAAACAGGATTTCAGACTCCCATATAATAGTAGGTCAAGCAGGAAAAAAAAAGTCAATAATTACTATGCTGAGGTGCCAGTATAGTAATATGATTTAAGGGTGGCCAAGAACATTGAAAATGTCCAATTTACCAGCTAATCCACAAAGCAAGACACTAAACAGGCCCTATGACCTGAGGAAATTATTGAAGAAAGATAAAGTGAAGGTCATTTCCAGCTGTGCCCAGCTTCTTGGCAGTTAATCTGCCATGGGAACTCAGTTTTGGGGGTCACACAGGTGAGTTGGCAGCCCATTTTGATCTCTGCATTAAAATGTGGTCTCCAGCCTTGGAACCATTAACATTTAATTAGCAAATTAAATTTTAATAAATTTATATGCAGAGTTAATAAAATGTAGTCTTTGTTACACTTTAAAAATCATCTGATAGCTTTACATGATGAAATTGTTGGCGAAATAGAATTTGACATGAAATTTACACCATCTATTTTCTTCTGTTGAGCTATGCATAAAACTATGTAAGTATTGTTTTTTCATCACTCATTAGAACATTGTGTGTAGGCATCTTTCTGAACTCTGCTTGATGATCATAAAATCCTAAGCTTTTGCAACTCTGCAGACCTTTCATATGTAGGTGAGTGATATTTTCAGTGAATGTTGCCACTCCAAACCTCCCTAGCTTCTAGAAACGCCAACATCCAGGAAGCTATTATTAAAGCTATTATTAAAGTCTTTATAACAACGAAGATAATAGAAGAGATTGAAAGATGCTGGTCCTGAATAAAATGGACAAAATATTTTTAAAAATCCCCTCTTGGCATAAAACATAGTGTCAATTACTAGGAAAAAACTCTATAGTCAACCATCAACCTAGGTATACTTGTGGTACTACCCAAGGAGCTGTTACCAACAACAGAAACATAGACATTTTTGTAGGTCAGCACTTTATGAAAACATTTGAAACTTTTTTTAAAAAAAGCCATAATTTTACATAGGACATCACCAGAGCTGTGTTTTATTCCACATGGCAGAATTCACACATAGTGTTTTGAAATTTGTATTTATTTATTATCCCTAATCTCTTGTTGATCCAATGTGGCTTTTCAAAAATTTTCTAAAAGTAATGTGAGTCCAGGGACACAAATATCTCCTTAAGCAGAAGGGCAGAATAAAATATACATCTATATTTTACAATACAAGATATTTGGGAATATATAGCCAAAGCAAAATTCTCTTCAAGTGTGTTTCCAAAGCTGAGTGACATACTGGAGCCGAGGTTTCTAAAGTTACCATTTGATTTGGCTTATCTTTGCTTTTCAAGGCAAGCATTAATAGGACACCTATTTCATATATATTATATAGAAAAGCCTCTATCATCAAGGGAGATGACAGGATGTTAAAGATGTTACTTATAAAATTGTTCTTCTATTAAGGAAAACATTGTAAAACCAACTGCACATTAGATAATTTTTCAATGCCTGTGCTTATGGTATATTTTGAAACAATGTAACATGGCATAGATCTTCAAAGTTTCTTCTTAAAGTTAAAAATATAAAACCTTGAAGAACATTTATAAGTGTCCATACTCTTTCTTGTTGTAAATGATATTTCCATTTGAAATAGTAATTGAAAGTAATGTTTATTCAAAGAAATATAGAAAGTTTTATTTTTGCTATCACGGGAAAGACAGAAAACAAAAACTATGGCGGCATAAATGATCTAAAAATGTCAACTTTGAACTTAATATTTTTCTCTCTCCATGTCAACCTGTAAGCATACTTTTGAAACAGAATATGCCTTACAAATGGTAATTTATTGTTCCTATTTTATAAGATATATTAAAACAATTATTTTTAAAAATATAGGCAAGTCTAATGGCTTAGAAATAGGACTCTTTGAAATGTTACTAGTATAATTTAAGGAGATTTTATATAATTTT